TCAGATGGAACCAGTCACCATTCAGAAAAAAGGAGCATTCGTGGGTGATAAGATTTTCATCACTTAGAAAGTGTACATCTGGAAGGTCCTTTACATTACAAAGAGACCCCCCGCTGGAACAATTACCTTTATTGCAGCATGGCTGGTCCATTTGTTATGGTCAGATGGCAAATGTGCCCTCTTTCCCCCTTATATTTCTTGTTCACTGTAATAGCTTTTTTTGGTTGAGATTTAAGGATTTAATGAGAAACCAATTTGAACAGTGATTTCTCACAGAAAGAGCAAATTTGCTTTTTTGCAAATCGATTTTTGTAACAAGTTATTTATATGATACTACTTAATAAATTGTTTTTTTCTAACTTGTTTTTTTTTTTTTTTTTTAATTCTCTTAATCTACAGCTGGTATTTTAAAAACCTGACATAAAATAATGGAATAAATCTACAGAAGAAATTCTACATCTACTGAAGGACAGGCACTAATTGGCTTGACTCTTTAAATGCCGCTTGTAAATGCTTAACTTGTAACAAACTGCATAAGGAATAAGACCTGGTCTGATTGGTGTGGCCCTGAGGAAAAAATGATGAGGATGAAGTCACATCCTCTTATGGAGGTTTATTTGAAGCAGGAGATTGGAGCCACTGTTATTTTGTCATAAGCTCAGAGCAGTTACCAATATTTATAGCTGGTTTCGATTGACTAAAGTTCCCACTAAAGTGTATAGGAGTTTTGCCTTACTAAGGAATGCATAATATCCACTCTGAAGATATTCCATATCTCAACCATATTGAGACTGAACCCCAACTTGCCTAGTGAAAGTCTCTCACACAAACAGAACTACCTTCAAAGGAAATTATTTATTTTAGTGTTTTATAAGAAAAATCGCTCCATGAATTTCCATCTTATTCAAAGGCACCTATAACAAACAGAGGTGGGCACAAGGGTGGGGAATGTCACCGCAAAGCAGTGTTTCACCAAAAGCATAGGTAAAGATAGTATAGGGCTAAATCAGGCCAAATGAGTGACTGAGGCCACTAAGTAGTTAAACTAATTACTGATTCTGTAGTCAATCAACTAAATGACTCAGTTGGCTCAGGTTAAACTCAATCTTAGATGGATCTCAGAAATACTGATGAAATTTTATATGAGGTACACAGCAACATGGATTGGCATTTCAGACTGGCATATTCATCACTGGAATTGTGGCATAACTAATACACAAGTTATTCATGAACTCTAAAAAACAAATTAGATTAGTTCTTTTGATCTTATTACAGTAAAGCTGAAGTCTCCAAGTGGGCTTCATTATATTATACATTATTCCGTGTCTGTTTATAACAGCCCTGAGAGATCCTAATCGTATTGGATCACCATTGTGCTAAAGGAAGAGACAGCCCCCATGCCTGAGAGCTTCCAATTTAATTAAGACAAGTTGGTGAAAGAAGATGGAGGGTAGCAGTGACAGGAGGGCACAATTGTGTGCCAAAGGCCACAATTTGCCACATTTATTTATTTATTGGCTTGAGTGCCTTTTGTAGACATTTACAATGACTAGAGTCCCTCCTGGCCACTTGCCCAGCCATATACCACACACTGTCAGATACCAGAACTAGGGTTGGTATACTGGTGGCCTTTGGTTTGAGACAATCACACTTGGCTACCATATCATTGCACTTCACTTGACCAGGTAGCATCTCCAT